GTAACTTGAGACGAATGTCTTTCCTTTCTGCCATTGTCTTCCGTACAGCGCTAACACATGTGAAGTGACACTGAGTTGTGGGAGGTCAATGAGTCAAGGCACACAGGGTGCTTCCAACTGACCCCCGGGTAGAAAAACACAACAGATATCTGGTGGGATCCCGACCTGCTGTACCACCCCTCAAGTTAGCCAGCGCCGTCTCTGTTTCACGCACATCAGAAGCGAACAGTTAGCGAAATCAAGTCCCAAATCACAGAGCTGCTAAGACATTTGGAAGTCAAATCTCGTGCCTGACATTTTTCTCACAGCCACATGCCAGGTGTGGATGAAATAAACAGGTCAACCCTAGGAGAACAGCTCTCTGTCAGAGATTTAAAAAAAAAATGGGGACCGGTATCCACCCGGCTTGTGTGCTTGCTCGAGGTGGCGGAAAGTCCCAGTGAACACAAGGCAAAAACACAACCTTTACCCCTGACTAGCTGTGCAAATCTGGGCAAGTCTCTGGAACATCCTGAGCCTGTTTACTCATCTGCAAAATGGGCACACAACACAGGCAAGCCACCTGCCGACCTTCACAGAGCGTGGTCACAGTCATGTGAGAAAATGGTCGTAGGGGAGAGCTGGAGAGCTGCTCTGTTTCCGCAAATGCTTTCAGCAAAGGCCGCTTGAGGATGGCAGCGGCCCTCTCTGCCGCCGTTAAACGTCCCGCAAGACCCCTCAATTCCTGGACCACATCTTGCTTCTACGAAAATGAGTGGGCTTGGGTCCCCATCTTGCCATCCAATATCCATGCTCAGCTGAGGCTCAGGTCCCAGGGGAGCTTTTGGACCGTAAGGGTGGGGATGCTGCCTGAGATCAGGTTGGACCATCCGGGAGGTGACCCTAACTTGAAGACGGCAGCTGCTGCTTCTCTGTCGTTAGTCAGCAGCCCAGACAGATGAGGTGTCCATGGTGACCTTCCTGCCTCAGTGAGTGTGGGAACTCGGGGCTTCCCAGGGTGAGGGAGTGGGAACATAAACAACGTGGCTCCAGCAAGGGCATCTTGTCCTCCCTCCACACTGCCCTCTCCAGAAGGGAGCACAGAGCATATGGTCTGGCCATGCCATGCTGTGTGCTCCGCAGAGGAAGAAAGTCTGCTTCTGGGGGCAGGAGTTTGCAATCTGAAAATGAGTCTAGCTTCTTCAAGGGTGGACACTTCCTGACAAAAGTCACACCGTTGGCATGCTTTGCCTTCAAAGGGGCGGAGGCAGAAACAGATCATCCTGGTGGAATCCTTCTCCTCCTCAGGATCTCTAAGGCCATGTTCTCTCCTTTGCATATTGGCCAGTCCTTCCCCATCTCTTCCCGGATCAGGACAGCCGACACAATAAACACAAGGAGACTTGGGAGAAATGGCTAATGGCTCGGCCACCAAAGGTTCCTCATAGCTAAGGGCCGTCCGGATGCACACCGTGATCAGTACGTGTTGGCTGACTACGCGGAGCTTCTCCCATGCGTTGGAGCAGCTTTTAATTCTTCCAGCTGCTGCCTCTGCATCTCCTCAACACCCGATCTCTCCAACAGCACCACTTAGAATGTCCTCATGCAAAATGGTAATGCATTTTTTCCAGATGTGAAATGCTCCCCAACCTTTGCCTTGAACATTTTCCTTTCCATTTTTAACACCAGCCAGAGCCCGCTCTGCATTGGACAAATGCAGTCACACCCTGCATGCCTTAAAGGTGCAGGGAATGCACCGGTCAGCAAACTTGGTAGAGTGGATGACCAGAGCACGTGTCTTCTAACTGGGAAGACAGATTAGAATGTGAACGAACGGTCTCTGAAGGAGACATCTGTTTGGGGAGCCACAAGTGCCCGTCAGTGGGCGTGGATGGGGCTCACGATCAGGCTCTGTGCCTGAAAAAGAGGTGATGAGTTTCAGCAAGACAGGTGGAGTGCCTGGGGAATGGAAGACAAAGGAGAAGAAGGGGCTGGGAAGGCAGAGCGTTTGAGGAAGCAAATCTGAATAGCACAGCACCTCGTGGTACAGACCTGGGCCTCGCCCTCTCCCCTGAGCTCTGCTGTGGCCAGATACTTCTGCCTACTCACCCACCATAAAACCTGTCACAGAGATTCTTCCTTTGAGGCTCTTCCTTCTCTCGGCTGCGATTTCAGTCTCAGGGGACAATTTCCTCAAATGGGCTCAGAGTAAGAACACTGAGGTGCTCAGCTAAGTGCTACTGCCTGGTGCGAGCATCAGCAATGGACTCGGCTTTCTGACCTGTGGTTCTCTCCCAGCAGTGAAATTGATAATTACGCTAATGGCAATGCATGATGGGTGTTTACTCAAAAGCTCACTAGTGCTGTCTGCTGTTTATTACAGCCGATTCTCATGCACCTTGTGAGGCAGATAATCTTCCCTCTTACCCTCTTCAAAGCTTTCTCGGAAAGTCTAAGTGTCACACCCATCACAGATGTATTTTGGAACCCTGAAGGTAGAGGAAAAACCTAAATGATATTATCACAATTTTCAGCGAGTATATTTAATTAATAAACCCATTGTTCAGTGTCCCGGTGGCTGTGGGGTATGCAGGATTGAGGAAGTCTCGGACTCATTCGCTCATCTCCTGAAATGAATGAATGAATGAATGAACAAAAGCAGAAAGCAAGAATGAAACAGCTTGTCATCAACCAACTGAGTGAATGACCTACATGAAGGGGAGGACTCCACAGATGTGGCCCAAGGTTACGAAGATGGCAGACGCGTGGAGCAAAGGCTGAGAATGAGCTGATGAGGAAACACAAAGGTCTAACTCATCGTCTGCCCATGGTTACAGCAGCGGTCGAGGCTGGAGTTGAACCCAGAATGCACTAAAGCGCTGGCTCTCAACCTGGTGGTCAAACAACCTTTTCGCCATGGGAAAACACAGATATTTACATTGTGTAGCCAATTTACAGTTATGAAGTAGCAAAGAAATGATTTTATGGTTGGGGGATCGCCACAGCATGAGGAACTGGGGTCCCAGCATTAGGAAGGTCTCTCATTATTTTCCCTGGTAATCATTCGTGTCTTCCATTCCTCTCATTTTACCACAGCGGCTTTTTTAAAATCCCAAACTCTAGTTCTGGGATGTTATTTATACTCGACACAGTAACAATATACTCTGAAGTTGCCAGTTTCTAAAACTGCATGCTGGTATACCACCCTAACGTGAGTGTGCATGCACACGCGTGATGATGGCGTGTGTGGATGTGCACGCGAGTGTGAGAGCCGCTTCTTGCACTTCACATCGCTGTTGGGATGAAGTCACACGTGTGGGAGGGAGGACCGGCAGCAAAAGCAGAAGAGATGAAAGCCAGACGACTTTGGTCTGATCTCACAGACCGGAGGGAGGCAGTGACTGAGAGAGTCAGTGAGCTGAACCGGAGTTAGGCACAGGCACTGGAGCAAACATCTGCCCAGAGTCTTTCCGAGTCCTCTGAGCTTTCAGCAATCACCTTTCCCTCACAACACTAGGCCATCTAGCCTAGGGGTGAAGCTACAGTCCGGATTCACAAGAGTCAGTCTCTTTCAGCAGCTGACTGAAGCTGAGTGAGTCATGGTATCTCTCGGCTTCTACATCTCCACGGGTAAACAACAGGGCTACCGCCTGTCTCCTGCAGCTCTGTTAAAGATAAAAGAAACCTTTAGAAGTGCCTTGCAGTCGGTGTTTGGTAAGTTGCAATTTGATGCTATTTCATAGGTGACAAAACAGATATTCAGAGGAGGTAACTCTATCTTCTTGGGCCCCAGCTAGTTCCTGGCGCGGCTCGGGAGCAGTCAGGCATCAAGTCAGGCCCCAGCTCTCATTCCCACAGAGAGCCAGTCCTACCCCGGAGTAATATTCAGGCCCTGAGCGACTTCTCTTCTAGATTGCCTTTAATTTGCACTTCTCTGCCAAATTTGCACATTTGTAAATTTGAAACTCCAGTGAAACGATTTAGGGAGAAGCTTCTGGAAAATGAGATCCGGGATGGCCCTAGGTGACCTTAGCCGGGGGAGGGGGGCCATGCTTCATCACACCCACTTCAATTGTGGACAGGAGGATTATTTACTTTGTGGGTTGATGTGATATGATCGTAATCCCGTGTTGGCACCACTCAGCCACTTCCCTGCCACCGTGGGTGTGTGCTCAGGCTGTGTAAACTGGGGAAAGTTGTGCAAACCCAGGAGGCATCTGGGCTTCTAATGCCTCTGTCTTACCAGTAGGCTCCTTTCTCTCCTTTCATCCCCTCCAGCGTTAGGAAAGCAGCGATAAACGCATTTTCAGTGGTCTTTTCTACCGCGTTCATCCTGGAAACAGTGGAAAGCCAGATAGAAGAAGAGAGGAGAACCAGGACTTTCATCCGGAAGAGACAGTGGTTAACCTTGGGTCCCCAGGCTTCCAGGCGCACTCCTTATCTCTAAATGAAGAGGAATGGCAGATTTATGGAGTACGCATTCTGTTAAGTGTCCTCAATCATATCATTTTGTTTATTGCCCAAGAACCCTGCTAGATAGAAGCACTTAATTGCATTGGGTAAATGAGAAGCTAGGCGGCCTTGCCAGCTATATTTGTCCAGACCACAGCGGGGTTAAAGAGGAACTTGAGCTGGAATTTGAATGTAAGGATCATCTAATTCCAATATTTTGTTGTTGTGTGTTATTACTGCAGGGTAGGACTTTGTTTTCTTTGTTATTGTTGTTGTTGTTGTTTGAGGGTTTCTCTGTGTAGCTTTGGAGCCTGTTCTGGAACTCACTCTGTTAAACCAGGCTGGCTTTGAGCTCACAGAGATCAGCCTGTATTTGCCTCCCTAGGGCTGAGCTTGGTTCCAAATTTTAAATGTGAACTAGGAATTCATTCATTCTTCCATTCCTTGGGGTCCGTGTGTAGGCAGAAGCCCCTTATCCACTGATTATATCAACTGTAGACCCTGGTAGTATAAAGAAGGATTTCCTTGTCATTTGATGCCATTGATTGAAATAAAATACTTACCATCATCTGCAATGCTTCTTTAATTAAAAAGGAAAAAAAAAATCAATCTGAGACAATCTTCTTGATTCCTTGCCCAGGAGCTTAATATTCAATCCAGTTCCAGGTATTTAACAGTGTTCACTGACAGACCGAGGGTGGTTCACATGGAGAGTGTGGCAGTTTGAATAAAAATGGCCCCCATAGGCTTGTAGATTTGAATGCTTAGTTGTTAGGAAGTGGCACTATTTGAGAAGAATTAGAAGGATTAGGAGGTGTGGCCTTGTGGGTGAAGTATATCACTAGGGCTGGGCTTTGAGGTTTCAGAAGCCCATGCCAGGCCTAGAGCCTCTCTTGTGCTCTCTCTCCCTCTCCTCCCTCCCTCCCTCCCCCACCCCTCTCTCTCTCCCTCTCCTCCCTCCCTCCCTCCCCCACCCCTCTCTCTCTCCCTCTCCTCCCTCCCTCTCTTGCCCTCCCCTACCCCTCTCTCTCTCCCTCTCCTCCCTCCCTCCCTTGCCCTCCCCTCCCTCTCTCCCTCTCCCTCCCTCTGTCTCTCTTTCTCTCTCTCTCTCCCCCTACAGATCAGGATGCAGTTCTCAGCTACTGCACCAGCTCTGCACTCCCTGCAATGCTGATAATGGACTAACCCCTGAAACTGTAAGCCAGCTCCAATTAAACGCTTTCTTCTGAATTGCCTTGGTCGTGGTGTCTCTTCACAGCAATAGAACAGTGACTAAGACAGACCCACTCTTAGCGATTCTAACCTGCACAGGGTCAAAGAGTAGGAGAAACCCTGGGGTTACAAGCTGCTCACTTGGCAGTGGGGCTTTGCCCTTCTTCCCCCCCCCCCATTCTCACCTGCCTCTGATAGCAATCAAATGTGACAGTGGGCTGGAGATCGACCTAGTGGGGCTTGTTCGTTAATTTCGAGTGTGCATTGATCTTGTGGAAGTCCCAAGTTCAGTTCCAAGCACCCACATCAAAGAGCTCACAACTGCCTGTAACTCTAGCTACAGGGGGATCTAATGCCCTCTTCTGGAGTCTAGGGACACACATCGTCGCACATGTATGTACATACACACATGCGCACATAATTAAAAATAAACAGATGATATTTCTGAAGAATGCTCTTTGAAAAATGCTGTTGCTGCTGATGGAGTAGCTAAAGAGAAAAGTTGTGGCGTTTGCTTTGTAAGCGCCAGCGCCTACTTACCAAACCACATTTTTCTGATATGGTCAGTAGGAATGAAAGTCAGCCTGGGTTAGAGGGGCCTCAGCAAGACTGGGGCGGAGACAAATTTATGGCAGGTAATCAGAGTTTTTCATACCCTTATTAGAAACAGAATATAATGGTTCCCAGGATACTATGATGTGTGCAAGCTATACAGGGTACACAAGATTAATGTCTAGGGCCAATTGTCCTGTCAAGCTTCTATATGCTTTGCTGACTTCTAGGGAACACAGGCAGCCTGAATGCCCCGCTGTCTGAGGGAGTGCCTCGGTTTCTCAGGTAATAAAAAGCAAGCAGTGCCCCTGGGGTCACAGACCCTAACCTGGAACATCAGGACGCACACCTCTCAAGGCTGCTAGACCAGGCCAGCTCCGTGATTCTCTACACCTCTTTCTGTTGTTTCTACAAGAGTCCAAAGTACAACAACTTCCTGTGGGTTCTTTAGGAAAAGTAACTCCCAACATTCCTCTCAGGTCTGTCCCCATCCTTCCCCAACAGGCCTGAATCTTAAATGTCACATTGCTCCTGGGCTCACTTTGCTTTTTCCTCTTCCGTGTTCTTATGTAGGGTCTCTTCCTGTGTTTGAGACCTTAGATGAATCCCAGCCCAGCACTTTCGCTTCTGGACCTGGTTCCATAACCTTCTGTCATGTTTGGAGGGGAGGGGAATGAATCTCTGGATCAGAACTCCCCTCCCTGTCTCTTTGTGTGTCTCCGCAAGGCCTCAGCTGTGAGCTGCTCCTGTCAGAGAGAAGAAAGCCAGATTTTTTAAGCATTAGTGGGGACAAGGGCATCCTGACACCTACATAAGAAGCCCATGAAAAAGGAGAGGACTCAAGGATGCTTCAGAGACTGCTGGCTGTGGGATCAACTTGAGTCAAGGGAGGTGTGGCTAGGAGTGGATGGATGAGTAAAATGGCTTTGATGTCCAATCAGTAAGGCTAGTTTAAGGTCCAGAGGGACCAGTGTACATCGCAGATGAGTAAGACAAGAAACATTCGGGGCTTTTCTTCATTTTCTTTATTCCTCTCTCATAATATACATTCTGAGTGCAGCCTCCTCTCCTCCCTCCCCTCCACCCAGTCCCAGCCCTACCTCCCCTCTCCCCCAGATCCATTGCTCTTCCATTTCCCTTTGGAAAAGAGCAAGCATCCCAGTGACCTCACCCTAACACGGCATAACAAGATGCAATAAGGCTGTACCACCCTGAACACACCCCATCTTATCTGATCTCTGAAATATTCTTAAATAAAGCAAGAATGTGGGGAACATTTGCAAGAAAAAGTAGAAAGAAGATTTATAACTACAGAGACTAGCAAGTCAGAGGGTGAAGGTTTGCCATCCCAGATACTCAGGAGGCTGAGGCAGGAGGATGGCAATTTCAAGGCTGGCTTAGGTTACAGAAAGAATCCAAGGACAATGAAAACAAATCAGTAAGACTTGTCTCAAAATAAAGAGTCAGAAAGGAGCTTGGGTGCAAGTTGGTGGTACGATGGCACTTCATGAGCGTGGGGGAGGCCCCAGGCTCACTCAGTTCTCCAGGGCTGCCCAAAAGAAGTCTTTGGGCATAGTTCTATTACTATTGGATAATAATAACCAACATGCACTCCGTACTCGCCTCAGCTCTTTATAGGTACTACTTCATTCAGTCTTCACAAATCCATGTGGTATAGCCCAGTATTAGCCTCATGAACAGATCAGGAACCAGACATTCGTTCAAAACTATAATTTCTGCAAGGTCACACTGCATCTAAGTGGGAAAGAGTGGGACCGTGGAATAAGCTCCGTTCTCTAACATTTACTTCCCTAAGTATGCGCCAGGTAGGGGCTTTAGTCCAACCCCGGGATCTCTGAAGAGCCTTGGGCAAAAAAAAAAGAGAAAATCCCATTACACCTTTCGATTGTCAAAACTAAGATTCTTTACTTTCGAACTGACTTGGCACAGTCTTTAAGCCTGTATTTCCATCCACAGTTTTCTCATAAAATAGGTACCTGCACTCTGTCTGTGTTGCGCTACGCATGTGTTCGAATGTAATATGCCACCGTCCTCCAGACCAACAGCTCCTGCCTCACTCATACTTCTTGTTCCTAACAAGGCTGCCAGGAGGTTTTTTCCTGAGAGGAGATGAGCAGCCCATGTGTTTCGCAGATGGCGAAGGAACTGTGGAGGTCAATGGCTTGAGCAAGGTCATAGACCAAGTTAACCACATTTGGCTCAGGTCGGGATCAATAATGGCTGTGTGTCCAGTCTCATCCTTAGCTGGCCTGTCTCTCCCAGTCCTGGGCCGCATTCCAAACTGGGTCATCTGGTTCACGCCGGCTGGCCGAAAACTCCCCCTGTGGTTTTGCACACATCTGGTGATTTTTCACTTCTCTCTGTGGCACGTGCTTTCATCCTATTGCTGCTGCAGCAGAAAGATGTCCGAGGCTCCACGGAGCACAGCGAACTCAGCCAGAGGTGGACAGTGCGCCTCCCAACAGGGCTTCCAAAAATAAACAGCGTCACAGTTGCAGCGTGCCGGACTTGAAGCTGGAAACCCCCAAACTTAGGACCTCTTCCGCAGGCCCCTGCCCTGACATTCTGTTGCATTCGTGTTTTCTTTTGTTTTTAAGGGAAATGGCTGGGTCTAGCGGCACAGGATTGAAAGCACAATTGTACCTGTGATCTCATGAGACTCAGGAAAGAGGATGAGTTCAAAGCCAACCTGGGCTACAAAATGAGATGCTCTCTCAAAGACCAAAATCAAAACAAACAAGCACTCAGGAGGCAGAGGGAGGCCTCTGTGAGTTCGATGGAGTTTGCCACCCAGCCTGGCAAGATGGCCAGGGATACCCAGAGAAACCCTGTCTAAAAAACAGAAACCAAAAACAAACAGCGAACAAAAATCTCTCAAATGTATCTAAATAGAAAAATTAAGAACGTGAAGAGTAAGTGGGAGAAGGCACAATTCTCCCATCTTACAGGACCTTTATTATTTTTGTTTCCTCCGATCTAATTTTCCTTATAGGTTCATATATTTTCTCGCATTTATGTACTTTTACACAATGAGAATCATAATCTGTATGCAATTTTGGTGCCCTGTTCTTTGGGTTACTTAGTTTTATAAACACTTCTTGTTGCTGTGGTTTGGATGTGGCTTCAGCGCCTCCCAAGCCGCCAAGGGCTGAAATGAAACCGTATGGTGATAGGAGGAAGAAACTTACTCCAGCGTGGGGCTTAGAGTTGGGGCTTTGGGGAAGGATTAAAATGAGACAGGTGGCGCCCCCGACTTGACTTTTCGTGGCTTTAAAAAAGGAGGGGGGAGGAGCTGGATGGATGGCTCAGTCCTTAGACTGCGTACTGCTCTTGTAGAGGACCCAAGCTAGGCTCCCGGCACCCATCTGCAGTAGCTCACGATTGCCTGATGCCTCTGGCCTCTGTGGGTCCCTGCACACATGTGCACGTATCCCCTACACACACATTTTTTTTAAATCTTAATTTTTTTTTTAAGAGGGAGAGACTAGACACATACTCTACATTCATGTACCCTTATCTCTTTCCAGGTGATGACCTGTACTAACCTGGGGCTCTGCCAGCAAAGGGCGTCACTAGGTGGACCCTCAAACTTGACCCTCTGGAACCATATGCCAAAATAAGCTTCTTTTCCTCATAATTCAGCCAGTCTTTGGTACTGGGTGATAAGTGACTGAGAGCACCCAAGCTCCCACAGGATCTCGAGGGAGGAAGGAGACACGGAGAGGGAGAAAGCCAGCAGGGACTCCCATAAAGCAGCGGGTTATGGGTGAGTCACGCAGGGACCCGACCCTTCCTTAGGTTGCTGCAACTTAAACGAAGCTAGGGGAAAGACAAGAGGGCACATGGAGGGGTCAAACGATCCACAAATAAGCATAAGGTTCTGGACAATTAACTTGCCCTGTTGGGAGTTAGAGGCAGGGCTACCTAAACAGACCTCAGGAAAGAATGGCTCTTTATAGAAACGACTCCCCTTGGGAAAGACCATCTTCCCATGAGCACGGGCTGTGGAAAATGATACTAACTTAGGTCACTGACTGCCATCCCCAGAGCTTTTCCAGAGCAAAAGGAAGTGAGTCATTCTACCTGCTGGGAGGAATTGCTTGCCTCTCTGGCTATGTTTTCTTCTGTATCTTGACCTCTCTTTCCCTCTCCACTGTCTTACCCCAATCCCACTTCCCAAATGGGTTCCACTGTCCCTATTCACCAACCTTCCTCAGTCAAGCTCATAACCAGTGTCTCTCGCTGTCTTTTGTTGCCTTTCCAAAGCCAAGATGCTACGCTGCGTCTGCACAGCTGGCTTTAGCACATATAGGCACTGCGTCTGCACAGCTGGCTTTGGCACATATAGGCACTGCGTCTGCACAGCTGGCTTTGGCACATCCAGGCTGGCACTGTACGCTACCTGTGCTGCAGCCCAGGAAAAGCTAAAGGATGGTGAGGAGGGAGCAGGCTACCACATCCGGCTGTGTTTCTTCGAAGCTGCTCTGCCTTGCACAAGGAAGCCAGTGGACACTAGACTCCAGGAACTTTCACCTTCGCTGCAGCGCTGGGAAACTGGGAGACTGGCCCTGCTGTTCTTTGATGACAGGTAAGGAAACTGAGGCCTCTTGTTTATACAATAGTACGCTCATACAGGTGTAATAGGACGAGATAAACCCAACGTGCCAAGCAAAGAATAAGGTAGAACTGCTCGTTACCACTTTCCCCAAAAGACAACTGCTAAGCCATGGATGGCAGGCAGCTCCTCCCTGTAATCCCAGCACTCGGGAGGCAGAGGCAGGATGATCAATACAAGTTTGCGTTCAGCTAGGGTTACACAATATGTTCTAGGTTAGCTTGGGCTATAGTGTAAAACTTGATCTCAAAAAACATAATAATTTTAAAAACATCATTAATCTTTTGTTTGTGGTGGTTGGGGGAGGGGTTTTTTAATGATTTTTAGTGAGCTCTACATTTTTCTCTGCTCCCCTCCCTGCTTCTCCCCTCCCCTTCAACTGGGCGGGGGGGGTGTGTTGTTCCTTTGTTTTCTGCTGGGTTCAGAATACATGGTCTTGCACAAACTTATAAGCATTGGGCCAATATGCTAGCTCCATGTTTGTTACCTTTCTCTCTCCCTCTCTCTCTTTCTGTCTCTCTCCCTGTCCCTCACCCTCTGTCTCTCTCCCTCCCTCTCTCTTCTTCTTTCTCTCCCTCTCTCTCTCTCCCTTTCTTTTCTCTCCCCTGTCTCCCCTCACACACACAAATTGTGAGGTTCCTTTACTTCATTCAGTTGGAATCTCATCCTTTCTGTTAGCTCCCCTAGAGCTTCCTCAGTGAGACCTCACACTGAGTGGGTGAGACAAGGTTGAGGCTTGTACTCTAAGATCAAGGTGTGGCAGAGCTCTTTGGGACCTTTGGTGTTCCTGGTCTCTGCTGTGCCACCTTGCTCTCTGCCTCTGTCATCACGGCCTTCTCTTTATGCATATGTGTGAGACTCCACAGGGCAGTCTTACTATAAGACGATAGTAATAACGGACTGGGCGCCCACTCTCCTTCACTGCGATCTGTTTTTAACTGTGATAATGACAGCTGCTAATGGTCCTGTTTCCCAATGCAGCAACGTTATGAGGCATGAAAATTTGGGTGCTGAGGAGGGTGCAGAGCAACTCTATACATTGCATCTTTCTGCTTTTTGCTTACAAATCTGTTAAGAACATTTTCTACCATGTGTAGGAGCGTTTTTGTTGGGGGAAACAAACTAAACTATGCATATGAGGAGAAGAAGAGAAGGCCCGAGTAAGGAGCAGCATGAGATGGGAGGGGGCTGCCCACAGGCTTGGGGGAAGGGGGAGGAAATGAAGGAAATGGAGAGGGCAGGGAAGCTGGGAGCTGAGAGAGAGAATAACACACACACACATTCACACACACACACATACACACACACACACAGTCACACTGGAGCATGCTTCTCTTCCTTCACACGAAAGGGCTCCTTAGAAACCTGCCAGGGGGGGGGGTTGTGGGATTGTCCAGTCTTCTCCACGACTCCAGCTACTGGGCCACCTGCCCTTATCAAGCTTGGGATGGATGCTAGAAGGAGCTGCAGAGAAACCACGGAAACTATAAGGGAATCGTGGGACCACTCACACTTGGGAAGGTGAGTGTGTTGAATTCATTCACCGAGAAGCTCTGTATCCCATAGTGAGAGCCATACGCTGGGCAAGTTGGCACCCACCTTTAGTATCAGCATTCAGGGAGGCAGAGGCAAGCAGGTGCCTGTGAATTTGAAGCCAGCCTAGCCTACATAGTGAGTTCCAGAGCGGCCAAGGCTATATAGGGAGGCTCTGTCAAGAAAAGTAAAAAAGAAAGAAAAGGAAAAGAGGCATTTTCAAATCGTAGCTCTGAGCCTTTTTTTTTTTAAAATAAAGATTTCATTTTTCAAAGTAGTTTTAAAATTCTTTTCTCATATAATACATTCCAGCTATAGCCTCCTTTCTTCCCAGCCCCCTCCACCCTTCTCCCCCAGATCCACTGCTCCTCCATTTCCCTTCAGAAAAGAGCATGCCTTCCAGGGTATCAGCTGAACAGAGCATAACAAGATGCAGTAAGACTAGGCACAAACCTTCATATCCAGGCTGGACAAGGCAACCCAATAGGAGGAAAAAGGTCTCAAGAACAGGCAATAGAGCCAGAGACACCCCACTCCAACTGTTAGGAGTCCAACGAAACCCCCAGGTAAACATCTAACCACAGCATGTATGCAGAGGACCGGGTGCAGACCCATGCAGGCTCTGATTGCCTCTTCGGTCCCTATGAGCCCCTATGAGCCCTGCCTAGTTGATTCTGTGGGACAAGTTCTCCTGGTACCCTCAACCCCTCTGGTTCCTACAATCCCCTCCTTTCTGGGGGGTTTCCTGAGCTCCACCTAATGTTTGGGTATGGGTCTCTGCATCTGTTTCTATCAGTTGCTGGAGAAAGCCTCTCTTTTAGAGGGTTTTTTTCAAAAATTTTTTCAGAAAGGATAGAGGTTCTCCATATGACCCCTGCCTCTTTCCCTATCAGCATCCCCAAGCAGAGAGATAGGGAGGTTCATCTGTAACTAAAATCCCCCACTGACATCCCATACCACCCAAGCCCAGACTGCTCCTTGAGGTTAGCTCTTCGTGGTGTATGGTATGTGGGTCTCGACAGATGTCTAATGACGTGTAACCAATGTTAGAGTCCTAGAGTGATTTTACACCCCTAAAAGTCGTTCATGCCCTTCCTATTCCTGCCCCTTCAACCTGATCCCCAGGGCCCTACTGTCTTCATTCCTTTTGCAATCCAGTGGCCATGATAGCTGGTAAAAACAAGTTCGCGGAAAGAAGGTTTTCTTTGCCTAGTGGTTTCAGAGGATTATCATCCCTCACAGTGAGACGGGCACGGCAGCGGGACCAGCTCTGTCGGTGGCATTGGTGGCATCAAAGGGAGGGGGTAAGAGGCAGAGTCTCAGGTGGACTGGGAAGCAGAGAGCAGGGATGGAGCTTAAAGGTGTGTCTGAGTGTGATATGCGTGTTCATGTGTGTGCACATGGACATGCAGGTGCACGTGTGTGTGTGTGTGAAGGACATTGGGTGTCTTCCTTGATCATTCTCCATTTTACTTTTGGATATGGAGGCCTCTCTCTGAACCTGAAGCTCATTAATTCAGGTGGACTGACTGGCCAATGAGTGCCAGGGATGGGCTGTTTCCACTCAGCCACTGTTTTTATCTAGTGGGTGCTGGGGATCCCAGCTCTTCTGTTTATGTGGGTGCTGGGGACCCCGACTCAGGTCCTCATGCTTGCACTACAGGCACTGTAGAGACCTAGTCATCACCCCAGCGCCAGGTATAAGCTGTAAAGTGTTGTCCCTGAGGACCTAACTTCCAGCATCCAGGGCCCTGCGCCTGCACCTCATAACACAGGGCCCCAAGTTGGGTCCAAGCCCCAAACAGGAGACTGTGTGGGGCATCCCAGAGTCAACCGTCAGTCATCCCTGGTCCCTTCACAATCTCCACGGTTTGGGTATCTGCAGAGGCCATGACGCTGGCATCATTCAGTACTGCCTCCTGTGGGTCAGTGACGGGTAGTTAAGATTCCACAGTGGCCTTTCAAGGCCTGGAAGACACTCAACCTTGATCTTCTGTGAGACCCTGGGCATATTAGTCTCTGTGATTCCGCTTCCTTGTGCAGAAGTTACCTGTATGTAAGTCACTGGGTGAGCTACATCAAGTGCGATTCATGAAATTTCACTGCACAAAAAAGGTGCTTTGCATTTTGATTATCCAAGACATATTTTTTACCTCTTGTCTCCAGGGCTGTTAGATGTTGCCTGTAGGACATTAAACACAACTAGCAAGGGTCCTGTCCTCAGGGAATGCATACTTTGAAGAGAACAAAATAACAACTTAACAAAAATAAGCCCATACAATGAAAGCTTATCATTTTAACCTGCATAAAGAAAACGTTTCTAACATAGAAAAAGTGAACAGAGAATAGTCGGGGACAGGGACGAAAGCAAGGTACTTAGTGAGAGCCACTCTGGGGAAGTGACGTGAAGCTGAGACCTGAAAGTTGAATTGGGGGCGGGAGACAGGCAGATGGAGGGCTTTAGTTGCGGTGGTGTGGGTGCAGGGGAAGTGACCCAGGGAAAGGGAACAGGTCCTAAGGCAACAGAGAGCCTAGTGTATTTGCAGGAACTGAAACACTGGTGTCACTATAGAGTGTGAGCGAGAGGAGCGTTGCCTGATGCTGGAGACACAAGCAGATGGGACTGTCAGGGACCCAGGGGACACCTGCTCTTTAAGAGTGAGAGGGGGTTGGGTAGTGGTGACGCAAGCCTTTGATCCCCAGCACTCAGGAGGCAGAGGTAGAAAGACCTCTATGAGTTCAAGGCCAGCCTGGTCTGCAGAGTAAGTTCCAGGACAGCCAGGGCTATACAGAGAAACCCTGTCTCAAAAAGAAAAAGAGAGAGAGAGAGAGAGAGAGAGAGAGAGAGAGAGAGAGAGAGAGACAGAGAGAGAGAGAGAGACAGAGAGAGACAGAGACAGAGAGTGGGTGGGACGGGTCAGCCAATAAAGAAGACAGGAAGTGGCATAGAAGATAGGTACCAGGCAACCAAACATGGGGGAATAAGAGGGAGAAGGGGGGGGGAGGGCTGAGGAAAGTTGACAAGGATGGAGACTTTGCAGATTTCAGTTGTTTAGCAAGATGCCTACCCCCACACCTTTCTATTTTTCTCCCAAGCTGGTAGAGAACTCATAAATTTCCTCCTCAGCCCCCTCAGGGTTGAAGTTACAGGTGTCTGCCTCTGGGCCACCAAGTCCTTTGACACCTCTGAGACAGCAGTCCGCTCAGGCCACAGCCAGAGGGAAAGCCAGATACAGGACTCTCAGAAGTGGTGTTCAGGGAACAGAACAAAGAGACGGAAGCTGGGACCACTGCATTGTGAAACCAAAGAATAAGAGGAGGCACCGCTAAAATCGCTTCTTGAATTTTGTCTTAAATTGGAAATTGTGAGCGTTGTCGTAAGGTGAAGAGAACCCAGTGACCAGAAAGGGGAAATAAGAGAAAGTATGGCCAACCTGCCTTCCAGAGGCTTCTTTCGCAGGACTAGTTTGCCTGCAAGCAGAAGATGTCAGAGAGAAGCCGGGCCAGCAGGCAGAGGAGCTCGCTACCAAGACTGATAGCCTGCGGTCCATCATGGGGATGAGCTCTGTGGACAGAGACATGGTGAATCTCTGTAAGCTGCCCTCTCACCTCTGCATGCTCCCCACCACACACAAATGAGTAAATAAACATGAAAAGGAAGTGTCGATTCTACTGCCTCCAGATGATGCAATCTCAGGCACACACACGGCTAGTTTCCAGACTGTAAGGTAGATATTTCCATGTGATTTTAAAATAACAACTGTAAATCAAACCTGCAAGGCTCGGTTTCAGGTCAGCATTGTGTTAACAGGTCTTTTAAAGATCTTAAAGTCCAAATTTCCCAGTTGCTCACTCGTTTCCTTCTGCCCTAACAGAGACAGAAAGACACCAGCTTGCGAGGCTGTAGGAAGAACGGAACAAGAGAGTTTCATTTTCTCACCCACTTTCCTTACTAACTGGGAACAGAACACATTTTCCGTCCCACCTCCTCCCTTTTTCACGAAGAAGACAGATAGACAGGTAATTTATATCAAAGTTTAGCATGTGTACGGTTTTTAAAAAATCAAATAGCTATTCTATATTACGTATTCTCCCCAGAAATGTCCCCCCGCACGATTCTCAAGCCCCAGAGGAGTGCTCTTCGCTCTTTGAATGCTTTATCAATCTAACTCTGCCTTTTGTAACTAGCATACCTCTAAATGGTTGCTTCTTCATCTTCCCTATCGACTTTCGCTGCAGAAGGTGGGGATGGAACTTCCACCGCTGCCCATAATCCATGACACATGTGTTTCCTGTCTTACACGCCTAATCACTTTAGCCCAATACTCAGTATTTACCTCCCCAGGAGAAAAACGTTACTGTTCCCTCCTATGTTATAAATCTATCCGGATCTCACATCCTCTCCGCTCTCTTTGGCGTCACTTGTCTCAGTTTTCATATGTCCCACGTGGATGTGTTTCTGCCACCGACAACCCATACTTTCCCTTGGCTGTTTTGACAGTTCGGTATTCTACCATTTGGAAAGAGGTGCACTTGATCTCGAACCTTCCAGGATGCCTCCTGCCAGATTCATGAATGCTCAGGCCTGCTGGGTTATCTCTTTACCTCATCCTGTGGATTTCCTTCACTCTGCTGAGTACCCTGATTCTTTTTCACCTCTTCCTCTTTCTTGATTTACTCCATTGTTTTGGTGGCACGTGTCCTTCGGTAAGTTCCTCTGAGAGAAAAAAGAGGAGATAGACTCTGCCAGGAGGCATTGTGCTGCACGCTCTGCCCTCGTCCACTTGGCAATTGCTATACCAGTGTCTTCTAGACTCCCGGCCCTTGTCTTTTAGCCTGGTTCTTTTCTCCTACCCACTGACAGTTCATTCAGGAAGTGTTGCAAAACGAATGCCCTCTTCCCCAGAGCAGCCGTTATCTAGTGACCAGATAAAATAAATACCCTCCTCAGCCCTGAAGGTGATAACTCTGAAGTACTGTGTGTGTGTGTGTGTGTGCGTGCGTGCGTGCGTGCGTGTGTGTGTGTGTGTGTGTGTGTGTGTGTTGCAGGGGATGGAGCAGCACCACTGCTGGTGGCAATTCACTTAACCCTGTGTGCATTTGTGGAGACCACAGCTGGAGGTCAGGTGTCTTCCCCTGATCCACTTCATCTTTCGGAGACAAGAGCTCTCACTGAATCTGGAGCTTCTTGTTGCAGCTAGACCGACTGGTTGCAAGTCCCTCCCTTTCTTCCCGCTCTATCCCCCCCCCCCACCCCAGTACTGGGGTTGGAGACATCGCAACCACAGCCAGCTTTATAATGGGCTCTGGTGACCTTCACGGAGATCCTCATTCTTACACAATGCTGATCCATCCTCCAAAACCTGAGGCGTGTTTCCTCCATAGTCCTCACCAGAGAGTTTCCAGGTAAACCAAAAGCCTGACGACAGTCCCAGCCCTTTTCAGATACGCTGGCTTCCTTGCCTTGCTTCACCCCTGACAACTTTGCTCCGAGGTCATCTCCAAAGTGATTCACGTCCATCTCTGACCTGTTTGCCTTGTTTTCTCTCCAGGTGTATTGCTTCGTTTCTGCTGCCATGTTTTCAATTCGAAAATCTTGTTTTCGCTGCTCTCTGAAAGTTCATTAGAAGAAACTTAACAACAAGGTTTCTGTTTTTATTTTGTATATATGCAGATACCTTTCTAAGCTTAGACTCTAAGGACACCAATAACTTGGTTTTCTTTGATAAAGGTGTCACTGTCTCCCCCAAATTGTCTTTGGGGAATGGTTTTCTGTAAGAGTCCCCATGATAGCTGGGCTAACTGCAGGATGGCCTTCAGTGTTTCTTCAGTGCTACAACCTAGTTGTAGGGAAGAAGAGAGAAGGCAGGGTCTCCAGCCAGGGTCTGTGCTGGTGTGAATGGGAATGCCCCCCCCCCATAGACTCCTCATAATCTGAATACTTGGCTCGCATTTGGTGGAACCACTTGTTAAGGATTAGGAGGTGTGGCCTTCTTGGAGGTATGTCACTGAGGGCATACTTCGAGGCTTCAAGGGATTCAATCACACCATTCCGATTGTCTCTCTCTGTCTCAATGTGTTTCAAGTTCCTTCTGTAGCACAATGGCTGCCTGCCTGCTGCCAGGCTTCCAGCCACTATGAACCAGACTCACCCTCTGAAACTGGAAGTCCCGAATGAAATGCTTTCCTTTCTAAGTTGCAATAGGAAAGTAACTAAGATGGGTCTCTAGGAAATTTTTGTGTCGTGTCCTTCCAGAGTTTTCAGGGTCTTGTCTTCATACAGGTGTGCCTGGCTTCCCTATTTCTTGCTCTTCCGCTGGAAGACAAACTTCTAATCCTTGGAGCCTGCATGGGAGGCACAGTTCACAACCAGGCAAAGGCAAGAGGAGGGCCGTTCTGGGGTCTCATTGCTTCCTGGGGTAACTTTCAATTCATCTTGCTCAAGCTATAACCTCAGCCATATTCCTCAATACTTAGTACCTGAACTGCCTAGTATCTGGGGATGGAGGAAGGTAAAGAATTCTAGCGTTAGTTCTCAGACACAGGTCTAGAGCTCACCTTGCTCGGGTCACTTGATGCACTTACCGCTCACACATCTATGTCCAGCCTTGAAAATGACCTTGTAATAGACGTAATGACATTGTAAATGACACTCCAAAGGCAGCCGCAAGAGAATCACAAGTTTGAGGCCAACCCGGGTGTTGGGGTTTGAATAAACATAACCCCCTAAAAACTGATATGTTTGAATGCTTGGTCCTAGTTAGTGGGATTGCTTGGGAAGTGTTAAGAGGCATGGCCTTGTTGGAGGAGGTGTGCCACTGGGAGTGTGCTTTAAGGTTCCAAAAGCCCGCAGCAGGCTCAGCCTCTCCCTTTCCCGCCACCAGTAGATAGACCAGGATGTAAAGCTCTCAGCTACTGTTAGCACCATGCCTGTTGCCCCCACCATGATGATCGTTGACTAACCCTCTGAAACTGTAGGCAAGACCTGCCCATGCTTCCTCTTGCAAGAGCTACTTTGTGTCTCTTCACAGCAATGAAACAGTAACTAAGACACTGGGCTGCAGAGTGACAGAGACCATGGATCAAAAAACAACACAAGCAAATCAATCGGAATGAAAAAAAGCCAACATACGCATAATAAATAAATACATGTTTTTCTTTGCATGCTTCGCTTGTCTTCACAGGCTTTTCCTTGAGAGCATTTGTACCTACTTACTTATTTGCTTACCTATGTATAAAGAGATCCTGGAACACAGTGAAGAGACTACTCTCAGTTCCTAGGAATGGGCAGGGAGGAATGGCCAAGGGAGAACATGGAGGAAGTAATTTTGTTTTGTCTGTGCCCTTTTTTTCTTTTCTTTCTTTTTCTTGGCTTTAACACCATGAGAGTGTCATGCTTAACCAAAATATTATTTTGGTTGAATTCTGGGAAGAAGTGGTACACAGTGTACTTGTTGAATCTGCTGTTCTTAACTAGAAGTATCATGTGTTGAATCTGCTGTCCTTAACCAGAAGTATCAAGTGTTGATTTTCTGTAACTGCAATTTTAGTATTAAGAAGTGAGAGGTTTCTCAACTAAAATCCCTCTTAAGTTAATAAAGAGCAATGAGCCAAAATACATTAAAAAGATTTTTTTGGCAAGACAACAAAAATAAAATAAGATAAAAACAAGGTTAGATGACAAAAAATAAGTTAGAAAAATATTGGCATGAAATAAAATGGACATAAATATGGTCTTCTTAGAAAGATTCGAAAACATAGTAAAATCAAATAAAAATTTCATGATAAAAGTCACAGATGTAGAGAAAATTTTTAAATAGCATTTGCATATAGAAAAATGTTCAGCTTAGCTTTAAACATAATTTAATAAAAATAAAACCCTCAAAATTTGAAAAATATGGTGACCTAGGTGATAAGGTGAGGATTTGACAGTAAAAGGAGTCTAAGATATTTTGATTTTGTTGGTTTGTTTTTGAGACAAGATCTCACTTGTGTAGCCCTGGCCAGCCTGGATAATGGCTAAGCAAACCATGCTGATTCTGAACTCACACGATCCTCCTGCCTCTGTCTCCTGAGTGCTGGAATTAAAGGCGTGCACTGCACTGCCCAGCCTCTAAAAACATTGTAAGTGGCTCAAAGCATACCATGCAGTTTGGTACTGTCAAAATTAAGAAGTTACATTCTTTGAACAAGAAACTTCTCTATCAGAAATTTATCTTGTGAATTTGCTTGCACTGAACACTATGGCATGCTTCCGAGGAAATCTCTGAAATATTAGCTTGTAGTCCCCCAAAATATAAGCAACTCAACCATTCATAGTGGCAGACTGACTGCATGAATTATACTGTATTTATGGACAGTCATGAGTTGGCACCGGAGAGAACACAGCAACTTTATACCTGTGCAATTATTTCTAATGCGTATTGTTTGTTTGTTTGTTTGTTTTTTGGTTTTTTCGAGACAGGGTTTCTCTGTAGCTTTGGAGCCTGTCCTGGAACTAGCTCTTGTAGACCAGGCTGGTTTCGAACTCCCAGAGATCCGCATGCCTCTGCCTCCCGAGTGCTGGGATTAAAGGTGTGCACCACCACTGCCTGGCCCTAATGTGTATTGTTAAATTTGAAAGAAAGACATGATATGATCAAAATGCTAATATCCATATCTAAAAATGTCACAGGAAACCCATTAGGTTGCACAATTAATATATACTAATTAAAAAACAATTTATGAAAAACATTTATGGAATGACAATAAGTACATGCATGGTGACCTCTGTATTATTTTCCTTAAGACTATAGATATGTTTGTGCATACACAGAATATCTCCAGAGCAATGCAACAATGGTTTGACACATTCTATGTGATCAATAAATGTAATCTATAACATCACATCATCATCTTAATATTGGAAAAGGGTTTTGACTAAATCCAACATTCTTTTATGACAAAAAGTTCCAAAGGTACTAGCAGCAGAGGAATGTATCTCAATAAAATGACAACCCTCTTGCCACATATGGCAAACCTATAACCAATACCAAGGTGGAAAACCCAGCATTTCACTAAAATCAGGAATAAAACAAAGATATACACTTCCTCTACTCTTTAAAAAAAAAAAAAAGATATACTTGTTTTAAAGTTTTGAAACTTGTCTGTGTTTGTGTCTATGTCTGTGTGTGGATCTGTGCATGAACACAGCTGCCCTAGGAAGCTGGAAGAAGGTGTTGGATTCCCTGGAATTACAGGCAGCTGTGA